ACCCCAGCCAGGAGGTGCAATCGCCTGGGCTCAGTCTCCGAGCGAGACTGGGCGGTGTAACCTCTCCTGACAAGAGGTGGCACCGCCTGAGCTCAAGTTTCGAGCTCTGCCAGGCGGTGCAACCGCCTGAGCTCAGTCTTCGAGCTCTGGCAGGAGGTGCAACCGCCCCTGACAGGAGGTGGCACCGCCCAAAGGCTCAGTCTTCGAGCTCTGTCAGGCGATGCAACTGCTCCAGTCAGGAGGTGCAACCGCCTAATCCCGAAATTTCGGAAATTAATAGTTTTGAGCTCCAAATTTGAATTGGGTTGGGGCCTATAAATACCCCACGCATTCAGCACTAAAAGGGCAAGAACATACACCGAAGAATAACTTGGCAATTAAGGATTAATACTATTATGATATATAAATTATTAGAATAGTTTATAAACTCAAAAAAAATTAATTGATTAATTAATTAATCAAATCAATCAATCTCTCAAAATTACAAACACATCCTCAGACTTCACAGATCGTCGGATCCGGCCAGCGTGGGTTCACCACTTGATTCCGATTGACTCATTGGAGACGGTAACCTCTAAAAATGTTCGTATAAGTTATAAAAGGTAGTCACCGTGACTTAAATATGCTTTGTATACATCATTAACATCGTCAAAAGTTCAATTCATTCACCTCAAAGAAGAAATAGGCTATTGAATAAAGTAAATGTTATCGTCTCTCATAGCTTGTATGTCAAAATTTTCAATAAGCAAGCATCCGTCTAAATTTAAAATCAAAACCTGAAACAAACGAGAAACACATCTATATCGTTGAGAAAATACCCATGGAACACCAGACAGAAGTGGCATAAACTCTTAAGCAGCAGCCCCTGTGCCCTTTCCCTTCTTCCGCTGGATCTTTTTCATGTAGAACTCAAGCTCCCTTCCTTCTAATATGTATCTGTACCATCAGCAGATAATAGAGAAGGTATTATATTGGATGACTAGATCAAACATTATGAGAAAATGATGGTTCGATTGTGATCTGCTACAAGAAAAATGATTCGAGCAAGATTCTGCTCACCCATCAGCTCTTCCACATTGCCCAGGGCGGGAAGATATACAAGCCAACAACCTTCCTGCCCCAAATTGCTCCTCGATGTGAGGATCAAGTTTACATCCCTGCTGTCTCTTCTCAAGCTTCCTGGTGACGTGATTGCTCTTCTTGCCTTCCTCCACGGCAGCTTCACCCTCCTGCCCTCACCAGAACCAACAAAGAAAAGGATAAGAGAGCAGACAATCAATTTCAGAAAATTGCTAACATGATTTGTTGATAAAATCTTAGGAGGCCTCTTGAGAACAGTTCAGCAAAGATAATCCAAATATGGAACCAATCATAAGATAATCATGTAAGAAAATTACTGGAGAACATCCACACTAAGGTAGCAGCTTTCCCGATACTACAAGACAGACTTTTATAAGTATAGTTCACAGAGAATAGTCTTGATAGAAAACATGGACCTTTGAAGTAAAAAATTTTCCAACCATACAGAAGTGCAGAGAAGATCAGATTACAGCCTTGCATCGATAAAACAATAGATTTTCCCACTAGTGTTGTAAGAAATTACTCTTTTCCTGAAAAAAATAGTTCAACTAATCAAACTATTATAGGTTCCAACAAATACTGAAACACAAAACTCTTGCAACTCATTATGAATACCTTCAGACAAAAGAGGAAATAAATCTTGACTAGACATGCATGATTAACCAGCCAACCTGCAACTTTATTTCCTTCCTTATTAACATGATTAAATTACACCCTATAAAATTAAGAAGTTGATTAACCCTACTTGCTGCTCAATAATGTTGTCAAAAGGCACTCATGCGAGGCAAGGCGAGGAGAGGCCCAAGCAGCTCACAAACCCTCCATGTGAGACGTTTCAATGAATCACTGCTCGGGCACTCGCCTAAGACCAAGCATCGGACGCCTTGAGCAAGCACCAAAGTGAAGTTGAATTGGGATTCGAGCCTGGTTCGATTGAACGAGCAAGTTGGTTCAATCAAACCAACTAATGGTTAGAACTATTTAGCACCATATTAAACCACTCTTTAGAACTGTTTACACTGATTAGAACTATTTAGCACCATATTGATCATGTCATTTTTATTTTTATGATCATATTTATCAATCATAATATACATTTTAAATTTTAATACCCTTGAGCGTCTCGTTTCGCTCGGGCGGGCACCTAACGCCTCGAGCATTTTAGGACCTTGACACCTAACGCTTTTCAAAGCATTTGGCAACTGCTCAATGTAGGTCAATATTAAAAAGACACCATTAGAGCTGAAACCGGGAGAAATGATGATTAACACTTAACATCACCATCAAATTTTAAGAGTAAAGAAATGACTAAATTAGACAACCTTTATTATCTAATCCTATCACTATTACCTTGTGCTAAAGATCAAGCTGATGAAACTTGGATTATGCAGACAAGAAAGTTGGCCAAAGGAAAGTTGACAAATTAACTTACAAAGATCTAAACTATCAGTACAGCTATAAGAATCTACGCCAAATTAATACACATGCTGGCCAACTTGCAGAACAACATTGACAATGAGGCACATGCAGGCCAAATATGCTGTTACATCTAGACATATTGTATCTGAAAAAATGTTAAAATAAAGTTTATGGAGAATTATAGATCCACAATACAGAACTAAAGGACTTAGCATAAGGCATTAGAACATATGATTTGGTAGAACAAAAAAGATAGCATAGATCTAAAAACCAAAATCAGGATCTGGATTATCCAGCGACTACACAATTGATATTGACTGGATCAACTATATAGGATCAATGAGATCTGAATTAGTCTTAATCACACTTAACCACCTTTTAGCTTCTAAAGTTTGTATAACACCATGGAATAAGCACTAATTCACTGACAAATACAACAAAATAATGACTTAATTTCATGATTTGTTTTCTTTCTTCAATATAGACGCTCAACATTTTACATTCTTAATTATTAAACTCATTACTATGAGAACTAGAAAAATTCTATTATAGTCATGGCTAATCCAAACAACCAAACCATTCCAACAGCTAACCTGCAGGATTTGTACATTGAGATGTCTTTTACAGTTAACTTGATACGTATGAACAAATCAACAAACCAAGAAAATGCATCACAACATCCAATTGACTAGAATGTACATAGAGGAAAAACCATCTAACCAAGTAAATGTCAAGCAATGCATCTTGGATGAGTTAGTCAATATGTTGGGAAAAAAGTGATGTCCTGAATCTGTTGAAGTGGCAAACACTAGGGTCTCTTTTTGCCTTTTTATGTGAATAAAAAAGTATATAATTTTAGCACAAAATATTTTATTGTAGGCAATTTAACAGTGCACAAGCCAATCAAATAAGTAACAAAGTAATAAGCAAACTACAAGACAAAATTTATGTGGAAAACACTTCAACGAAAACAAAAGAACCATGTAAATCTTATCTTGTAGTTCGTTTATTACTTTATCACTTATTTGATTGGCCTGTGCACTGAAAAATTGTCTACTATCTCATATTTGGTGTTAAAACTATATAATGTTTGATTCACATAAAGAGGAAAACAACATGATGCTTGTCATCTCTACAGATTCAAAGCATCTCTCTTTTTCGAACAAAGTGACATCAAAATCCAAAAGATCTAAATGCTCAAAAATTCAATAAGCATAAGTGACAAAGATTGAAAGGAGCATAAAGCAAAAATATTTTCTCTTCAAGCTACACAAAAGTGAACAGAAATTTATTGGGATTGACAAGTATTTTGAGATTCCCGAAGCCAATATCCTTGGTAGACAAAATTTTATTATACGAGAAAAGATCCTTATGAAAGAAGACCTGGGAATTAAATTTTGATTCTTCTATAATAATCCTATTATCTCTAGGTTTTCATGTGAGAGAACATGAAGTGACAAATTCTTTGGGTACTCTTTAGGGTTTCTATAGAGGTGAGAGAAGGGATTTCTCGATAAGGTGTTTAGAAAGGATATTCTTTAGGATTTCTAAAAAGATGAGAGAAAGATGTAAATTCATCAAATTTATATAAGAGGGTATACAAGGAGATTATACTTGAATGGGGATAGCTCATGAATCTTGTAATTGATCACACATGATTAAAATTTTATTTTTTTATGTAGGCATAGGTAGAGAATTTTCAAGCCATGTTAATCTTACTTTAACTTTCTGATATATTTTTTATTATTGATCTTTAAAAATCTTTTGGTTTCAAGTTCTTCTCTCGGTCCCCAACAAATCGTGGCAACATATTCCAAATTTCTGATGATGAACAAAAAAGTCTAATCCTTCATGTCATAAAATGAGTTTCCAGACATCTAAAACAGATTGTCTGCATAAAAGCTGACCAGCCTATTGGAATTCAGGGTAAAAAAGCATAAGAGCAAATGTGCTATGAGCATTATTGGATATAAAAGCAACGAGTACATTAAAAGAACAAGTAAAGCTACCTCTGCTGCCTCTTTCTTGGAAGCCGTTGGAGCCTTCTTCTTCCTACCAATCTCGATGCCATAATGCTGGAAGTACCACTGTTTGAAGGGAGCAGCATCAACCTGCACAATGGCACTCTTCACAAGGGTCTGTGTTCTCACAAGCTCGTTGTTTGAAGCATTATAGACCACATCGAGGACACGGGTCTTGCGAGTCACAGCTTCACTTCCCCATGAATAGTTCCCAGAATCCAACCGAAGGGCCCTCCACTTTACATTGCCTCCTCGAACTCGAACCCTCCTCACTGTCTTGTTGCTTGAAAGTTTTGTGTTTGCTGGCTGCCTTCCCAACTCATACCTTTCAAAGAAAAACAATTGAAAAACGAAGATAATATTGTCATTTAATGGACCACTAGGGTGCGATAACAACAACGGAAGTAGAGACACTAATACCAAAAGATGAAGTACAGAACCAAACTAATTTAATGGAGGGGAAAACTCCAACGATTATAAACGTCAAAATCCAATCCTTTCGTCAGAGACTTTGAGAAATCGAATCGGTGCAAGGACAACCATGCTACAAGGAAACTTGCATCCGATAACTTAGCATAAAGATGCGACATGCGGCGATCTAGGGTTTAACCAGTAGAGCAAAACAATCGGTTGAGGGAAGGAGGGCATCAAAGAAAAAGAGTTCCCGAAGCGGTAGACGCATCTCACTTTCTCTTCTTCCTCCAGGCCTTCTTCTTGCCTCCAGTGGCGCGCCTCTTGTGCATGGAGTCCCGTGAGATACCTGCGAGCGCAAGCAGAAGAAGAAGAGCACCATGGAAGAGATACCTGCGTTAGCGACGAGTAGAAGGTCACAAATCACGAAGGAGGGATGGATCTCCCGTCTAAGGTTTCCGATCTTTACCCATTTCGGCCGAGCGGTTGCTATCAGCGCGTCGCTTTCCCCTTCACCAGTTGCCGCCGCGACCTTTTCCCTCCCTCTCTCGTACACATATATATAGCCAAAAACCCTAACGTTACGATCCCCTCGTTACTTTTACACGTGCCGTAGCCCTGTAATGACAGCTACGGTAACGAAACACACGTCATTCTTGACATAGAAGCAACGGTGAAATTGTGGTCTCATGTTAAAATCCCAGCCGTCGATTCAATTAGTTAATGACAGTAAATGAAAAGAGACGGCTTAGTTTTTACCAGTCGTGCATCAAATTTGGAGATCATATCAACAGCTTCATAATGGAAATTTCTAAAGATGTTTTCAGGAAAATAGTTTACTTTTTCCTAAAGATGTTTTTAAACCACAAGTAACAATTCGTAAATTGAGGGCTTTCAAATGATAGAATAGCCACAAAATAATTGTAACACATAAATTACAACAAATCATACTAAATCGGGATTGAGAAAAGAAGAGGCCGCAATCCTTCTCATGCTAACATATGCGTGTTACAGAGAGAGAGAGAGAGAGAGAGAGAGAGAGAACACCTGGCCACACTAAAAGGTCGGAGCGGTTTTCTCACGAAAACAATTGCTAGGACTGCATTCTTTGCATATATTCTCCACCTGTCATGCTCTTTTCTGAGCCTTGGTATTGGTTGGCTGTTTACTCCCTGAAACAAACCTTGGCAATGACAACAGAGTATCCACTCGAGAGACGCCCTGTTGAACAGACCAACCATTGCCTTGCATCGAGGTGATATTGTCAATGGAGGATCCTTCTTGGGTATGAGTTCCAGAGAACTGCTGTCCTGGAGATTCTTCGATTGCATCACATGGGAATGCAGTGCTAGAGCGGATTGTGCCGAGACGGTCCAAAGAAGTTGGACCGGAAGGCGCTTGCTCGTCGCTGCCAACCCCAGCGGCATTTGGTGAATCAACTTCATTGGATGTGAGATCGGAGGAAATGTTTGGTGCATCTAAATCAAGGAAGAGGCAGACTACAGCACAGTCGTCAACTCGGGAAGTTGGGAACTTGAACCTCCAGGCCTTGACAGCTGACTCAACAAGTAAATGAGCAGCCGAGGATCTAGCTGGAGCAGAAGCGACAATGTCTACCACTTCTTCGTTGGAAAGCACATCCCAGACCTGTCATAGTTTAAGTAGCAGAGTTCAGGGAATTAACTTCAAAATAGAACTCTGAAATACTCAACAGTATCCTTGACATGTATTTCCAAAACAATAAAGATATCATTGAGACTAACAAGTCAAGGAAATTTGCAGGATCTAGGAATATAAATGAAACAATATATGTTTCTTACCCCATCAGTGGCCATGATAATGAATTCATCTCTTTCTGTGATGTGCCAATATGAAATCTCAGGTACAGAGATCAAGCCATAATCCTTTAAGCAAAAATCCCCAAGAGCTCGAGCCATTGCCAAGCCAGGGGTATCACTGTTAGGCAGCCAAACTCGAGCCACATCAGGCTCATCCCGGAGAGCAAAAACTCTGCCCTTGCACTGCCTTATTCGTTCTGCTTCCCCTGTAAAAGCAATTAATGACATTGTTTCGAAATTTATACTAAAAACTTTTAAGGAATTTGTAGTCAACAATTAATTACATAAAGCATCCAGCAATGCACGTACTTCAAAGGCTACCTTAACTAAAATTAAAGGCTCATATATTTAAAAACAGGCAGGATGATTAGCTAGCTCCTACCCAGGACATCTTCCAACTCTATTGAATATAGATGACAAAAGCATAAGGACAACCTTAACCCAACAGAAGCAGTAGTGTTATAATCATTAGGAAGTTGCCCGATGCTTCTGTTTAAAGTAAGATGAGAAGGAATGCTGAAGCCATAACAACAGAATTCATTGAAGAGAATGTTCAAACAGAGAATTAAAGATAAAGAGAACCATGTGAGAGATCATAGAACCAACACTATGCAAAGAGGAAAGTACCTTGACATTGTGGTTTTTCATATGATTTCCACAAACTACTAGCAGTTTTTGGTATCCTAAAGACAGGTTATATTCTTTAGATTACTAGATAAATTGGGAAATAAAAACAGACATGGGCAACTAAGAACAAGGTATCAAGGTAATATATCTTAACGTCGTGAACGTGCCAAAGTTTTAGCAAAAAACTAGACGCGTTCTGTCAAAAAAAGATTCAGCTTGAAAGCTTTATGATGTGATATTGGTTCTGGGTCATTTGATTTGCAACCTTGACTTGAGGGACCTGGTTTCATTATGGTGCCTGGACCATCATAGAGATCTTTGCAATCAAGGAATCAAAGTTTGGTTGTACTGGCCAGTACAGACTCATATTTTACCAGTCGGTACTGATCAATATTTACCAATCTGATCAAGAACTGATATTTACTGACCCAGTTAAAGACTGATATTTACCAATCTGGTTGACAGCAATGTACTGATGCAATCAAAGACCTGTACTGGACCAGATAGGTTAGTGCCAATCAGTACATTTTTTATTATTTTCCCGGTGATACTGGTTGGTATGGATTGTATACCGCCTGGTATACCAATATTGTCCCAGTCTGACCATTACCATAGCTGGAATCAGACCTAGATTTAAATATTTGCTTACAATAACTGAACATGTCAGATATGAGCCTAATATGGCACAGTATACAATGCAAACCTTGAGTATTTCTCATAGAAAGTCAATAATGGTTTTATAGATTAGACATTTATTTATGGTCAATGAAATCATTTACTTCAATTTTCATTGTATGCAAGCAAAAAGAAACCTTAAATGAATGCATAAAGCCATATATCATGAAATGATAAAATTCAAAATTCAAAAGAGGACAAACATGTGATTATAGATCTCCTTTTCATTAATCTGCAGTTGTAAACTTCAGAGTTGAGAGAAGTACATTTTGCTGTTTCAGCTTAAGGTTAATGGCTCTTTATACAAGTAGCTTAGGACAATTAGAGAATACAAAGAAACTCATTCATTTGTTTGTTGTTGTCATCATTTCTAAGTTTTGAAGCCTCTAAAGCTGAAACTTCATATTTAATCTGAAATCACAGAACTGTTATAACCAAATTTTTGAGTGACATAGAGAGCAAAAACATCATCATAGTGTTCCCCATGAAACCACCATCATTAGACCAGACTGCAGGCTGTACAAACTACAAAGTCCCTTTATATACTAAGAAATACTTATAAAGAGAATCGTGTCATCTTAAAATATAATGCACACTAACCCTTGATTTGCATCAGCTTTCCTTGACATGCAACAGGAATTTTGTGTCTCTCCGCAATGATATTTCTTATTATTTTTAAGGTGACTGTTATCCAGAAAGTATGTGAGGCTAATGTATCAATACACCATATATCAGTGCGTCTAAATTAGTAACAATCTTGGTCAGCAAGTTCAAAAGACAAAACCTTAACTTCATCAAGTATAACATACCCTTCATAGAAAAATAGCCAAATAACTGATCCAAAAAAATAAAATATATTTGAATGTTTAGGTTGATCATCTTGGTTGCAAGTATGTAAAGAAATAATCAATAAATCATGAAAATTGGAAAACAATTGTTTTGATGGGAATTTTGGAGATTAAGATAGATTAAAAAGAATTAGAAACTGCAAACAGTTTTTTACTAGGAAGAATTCCCTTCCATTGCACAGGATCTAAGTTGTCCTCTGTATACATGCTGTCAAATTCTGATGAGACAAGAAAGTGTACCAGAAATCTTAAACGAAATTTGCACACAAGACCCAGCAGTGTCCAAGCAAGGGAGTAAAATCTGTTGTGCGGTAGGCAAATCATACTAGTTTGACCAAAATAAAACAGATGAGCTGGATTTAATAGTGATATTTGGTATATGCCACAATGTAGAAAGGTCAAGCATATAAATAATGGACATTGATAATTTTCTTCACACGGTTAAATTAATCCCTATCCAAATAAGAGGCTTCTGTTTACTCGCAATGAGATAAAGAGCAGATCAGATACATAATCATACTAGATATACCTGACATGACAGCAAAAATGAACAGCTACATGTGCACTCAAATGTATCAAGAAAAATAAAAGAGATGGCAAACGTACTTGGAAGATTTGGTTTAAGATCCACAGTCAATTGAACTGCAATCAAAGAGTTGTTTTCATCTCTAGTGCCAAGTACTGCTCTTGAGTCTCCAACATTTCCAATCACAAGTTCTTGACCCTGCAAACAAGACGTTCTAATAATTCCACGAAACTGTTTCTCAATTATTTAAAATAGTTACTTATTAGAAGCAGCACTCTTCATAACCAACATGTATCTGCTTCACAAAATATATGAATAATAAGATGTTAATGAATAATATTTAACCTGCTTGACCAAAGTGACTGCTGTTGTCCCACTGTAAAAGCAATCTATATCAGAATGCTGTCTCAGTTCTTTATCCATGATTCTAAAAGCCTTCAGAAATGGATCTTTTAGTGTCCTTAAAATATGGGAATGCTCATCATTTTCTTCAAAATCAATGGAAGTGTGATTCTCCTCTTTGAGGGAAACAGTTGAACTTGTGTCTGAATTGATGCTTCCTGAATTATTTACAGTGGTTTCTCTACAATCCTCACCTTCCCAATTGGAATTTAGCTTTAATGGGAGAACATCTCTGACTCTCTTAGCAATCATATGGCCATGTGGACCATGGCCATCAAATACTCCACAAAATACTGTGTCATTCCTAGAGCCAAAATTCTGAACAAGAGAAAATTTATCCAGAGTTAGTAATCTGATGTGACTTTATAGTTACCATAGAAAGAAGTCAATGCCAAATGGTTGGCGATGTCAAAAGTGAAATAAATTAGTTCACAAGCAAAACATACTCAAATAAGATATTGGGGAAAAAGAGTGTGACAGGAAGAAATATGTCATGTTCACTTCTCTCAACCTCAAAGTAAACTGAAAATTAAGGAAATAATTGGCCATAGCCCAAAGAATTTAGTAGGATCTAAAAATTCCAGATACAAGTACTTAAGATATTCGAAACTTGATCATGTCAATCATAATCCTGGTGAAAGGATGGATATCCTAAAGCAGCTACTAAATACTTAAAGCAAACATGCCAAGATCACACTGAGCATAGTGGACATCTTAGATACAGAGCTGGATTAATACGAAAAAATTTCTATTCCAATGAGATTCTATAAACAAAAGTTTATAAAAATCAGAAGAAAAGATAAATTTCGAACTACCAAATCAGAGGCTGCAAAAGATAAATTTACCATAACAACAATGCTAATGAGAAGGTTCATCATAGTACATCACACGAAACCAATGCAATTTTGAAAGAGCGGTAGAAAGAAATTATGCCTGGCATGCAGGGTGTCAATTTCATGCTTGAATTATGGAATAACTGTGATGCATCAGGAAAGAGTGGATGCAAAAGAAAAAGATCATCTTAACATCAACAAGAAACACACAATGCATCAGAAGATCACGCAACAAAAGACAAAATGGTTATCACATCAAAGAGAATTCACCATGTTCAAGCTAGAAATCCATAACCCAACGATCTTGACATATTCTTGCAATGATTTAGCTATCAAAGATGGCAGAAATTGCGTTTCGAACCTCCCAAACGATCATGGCGTCCTGATTGGGTCCCTTCCTGCCTTGCTGGGAGAAGAGCGAGGCGACGCCGCTGGACCCGTTCAGGAACATCCTCCCGGGGATCCGATGGAGATGCTCCTCTTTCTTAGAGTGGCTCCGCGGCCCCGGCTTCTTCCGTTGCCCCCTCCGAGGCCGCTTCGCCCCCACCGCCGGCGACGAGGGGGACGACGGGCTGGAGGAGCTGCTCTGCCCGTCCGACGACAGGCAGGACCCCATTCGGAGGGCCCTGACCACGCCCAATATGCACTCCAGACCAGCCAGGCAGCCGCACCCGCCCTCCTCCCTTCTTGTCGGCTCCGTCGAGGCCTCCCCCCAGCTCCACCTCCTCCTCCGCTTCTCCCTAACAAACCTTTCGAAGGATCACAAACACACGGGTCGATCCATTCCGACCAAGAATATTCAACAACGATGCCTACGGCCAACAATTCAGATTGCTTCCGGTGCAGAAACCCGATTCCTCACTGTTCTTCCTCGATCCAGCAGAAATATCGAGGAAAAGGCGAAGAGGAACAGACTAAGGAAAGGGGAAGCAAAATCTACAAGGCGAATCCCAACAAGAACACACAAAAGATCACAGCAACAACAACAAAGTACGCAGAATAAAAAAAAAAGGGAAGGGGAGGGATCCTCATGTATGGCTGCGTAGAATTTCCAGACGAAGACGGCAGGAGGAAGAGGAACAGGAAAAAGACATGGTTTTGCCTTTGTTTTCGGGATGTCATGTTCTCCATCTTCTTTTTAACGACTGGGCAGAAAAATTGAAGGAAAGGAGAGAGTCCTTTTTCCGGACGCCATTTGCGTTTGACCGGATCTTCTTCCTTTCCCATGCGTGGCGTGGCGTGGCGTGGCGTGGCGTCTGCCCCCGCACTGTTCGTTTCATTTCCTCCTTTTTCTTTTTCTCTCTTTTATGAGCTATTTAATCCCATAAAAAATAAAATAAGTGAAATATAATGGACGAATTTTCGAAAAAATATATTTTTCTTAAAATTATTCACTTTTATATTTTCAAAAGAGTATCCGTATTTATCGATATTTGAATCGATCATTCATAATATTAGTTATAATATTTTTAATGTCTTTATCAAACAGTAATTTAGCTCAAAACTTAATAAAAATAACCTCATATATAAATAGAATTTTACTTAAGTATAATTGAGGAATAATAACAATCAAATAGAAAATTTCTGATATAACTTATATTCACCTATGGATCGATCCATCAAGCAAGAGTTGTAGCTGTGTCTTATATTTTAGGAAATATAACAAAATGGACATGGTTGAGAAATATGAAAAATGATATTTTGGAAAAAAATCAAAAAAGGGTTTTTCTCAAAAATTTATCCAAAAATAATTTATATTTTTTTATTCTAATTTTTTATTTTTTTATAGACGATGGTAAGACAATTGTAATTGAGTCAATTTTTAATTGAAGGTTATTTACAACCTATGCATGTCTATTATTATGATTATTTTCCTCACAGCTTATCCTAAATTGAATAAATGGAGGTAATATTCAGCTTAATTAATTGCTAAATTAAGACCTCTACCGTGAAGATACATGGACTCTACATTAAAGATATGGAACGAGCAATTTACTAGAAAAAGTTCATAAGAATGAGTTTTTTATATTAAATTATCTTAAAATATTATTTTTATTTAAAATTTTAATAATACCCTTAACTAGTTGACACCCTTATATATGAATCCGTTCAATCCAATCAAGATAACTCAATCTGGGTCAAATTGATTGAGTTGGAAGCTTAAGTAGGAAAGGGCTACCCAAGCTTAAATAGGAAAGGACTACCCATGGATGAAGTTAAAGGACTAATCACAATGTGGAGCCACCATTGGGCTATGTCTCACATACATCATGTTAGATTTTGATCTGAGCTATATAGGGCCTTAATAGAGACATCAAGCTCTTAAGTGGGGGAGATTGAAATATCCTAATTAGTCTCATATCAGAAGTGAATAAGATTAAGATTGACTTATAAAGATATGATGAGTATACTACCATCAATTTCAGCTTAAGTATTTTGACCAATGATTTGGGCTAAATAAAGTTGATAAACTAATTATCCCGTTAGACCCGGGTCATGACATCTTTTGACCCTCATTTATTTGGTCTTGTCCTCCACCTTCAGTGCTAAATTATCTATGACCTTTACTATTTTGATATCTCTATTGAGATCTAGTTTCTAATTTTTTTTCTTTTGGTTATTCTTTTTATCTATCTTTATTTGAAGAGCATATTTTGAAATTTCATATAAAGACTTATTTATTTTTTATTTATGAACAAAAAAATGAGCTCATTAACTTATCAACAAATAATATGCATATATCTTTAGCTTCTTCTATAATAGTAAAAATTATATCAAATTTTAGAGATAAACTCATAAAACATTTTCTATTACAGGTTGATTTTTAGATTTTTACCATAAGATCTCATTTGTCTTACAATAGAAGAGACTTTTAAGAAAAAACCAATGATAGATTCAAAATCTATCATAAGAATTTCGAATTCACATCGAAAAATTTGATACTTTAAAGTTTTTATCTTATTTGTGTCTCCAAACACACCTTTTAATATTTTTCAGACTTTTGTTGATGTTAATGCCATCATGATTCGGGGGGAATATGAACTCATATATTGCTTGTTATAGCATGTAGAGGGATCTTGTATCTTTTTGTATATTCTCATTCATTTGATCTTTTTGATCTTTGATAATGTCAGGATCTTATAAATCATACTTAATAAGATTAATCTCTACCAAATTTCATAATTCTTGTGAAATAAATAGAGTTTTTATTTTAATTATCTAAAATTGATAATTTTTACCTTTAAAGATAGGAAGAAGTTGATTAGGAACACTTTAATGCATACAATCTTTTTTTCTTTTTTTTTTCCAGATCTACTGGTTTTTTCTTTTTTTAAATCAATTTATTCATGTTAATCTTCTTCGAATTAAGTATTGATACCACACTTATTGGCTTTCTACAATAACTTTAGGGAGAAAGAGAAGAAGATGATAGAAGGAACTAGGAATCCTTCCAATTTATAATGCTTTGGATTGATCTAAGAATATCTATTTATACTAACCAAAAAATAAAGTATAAGTTTTCAAATAATAAAAAAATCCATCATATCTCAATATATTTTTTCATCCTTATCTATTTATTTTAATAAAAAAATTATTTCTTATTTCATTTAATTATTTGAATTAATTTTATCATTGATGAGTCTCGCAAGTCAATCCTAAGCATCCGGGAAAGACAAACGTTAATAAAGTTGAGCTCGAATTTCTTATTGCCCATGACTCTAGGGAAGATAAATAGCTTTAATGCCCAAACCTTAAGTTCCTCCAGGTGACACTCGATGATGAGAAGGATGATGATGTTATTAAAAATAAAATAAATTATAATAATTTTATAATTATAGTAACTTTAATGTACTTTTTTAAAAATATAAGAATGGTGATGATAAATAGTCTAAATAAAAAGGATAATTAACTTTTATTATAGCCTGTAGATTGTTTGTCACCTCTAAGACCACTAAACTTTCTCATGCATGATAACATGCAGCGAAAAACACAACTTTGAAGGGTTCGATGTGGCTTTGGTAAAATGGCGTGCAATGGTTAATTGGCTACCAAGTAATGTCAATGTCATCCTCACTCCTCGCATATAATAATGAAATGCCTCTTCAGACTACCACGTGGTTCCTCCGTTGAGGATTTGTAAAAGAAAACATGAGCTATATATATATATATATATATATATATATATATATATATATATATACGTGAAAATTAAACAAGTTCTATAAGACTGCTATCTACCGACTACTGCAATATTTAGGCAAAGTGATTTAACCACGTTTATTTGGAATATATGACATGATGATGGTGTTTAATGCTTACTAGCAAATGCTTCGTGAGACAAAAAGCAAAAAGGTAGGATACTATGTCTCATGTGGCTCTACGAACTCAAGGATCCACTATAAAATAATATCTAAAGGAAAAAACATATAATTGTTCTTAGGGACCACATAAAAAAGATATGGATGAGCTAGCTAGATGCGATGTCATATCATTTTACTTTTTCTTTTTTAGGAGACATTGTTTTAATATATTTTTTAGATACGTTACATATTATTTAAATTAATTAATATTGATTGTAGTTAATGATTGTAATTAATATGCAAAGGATCTTAATTTTAAACTAATAATGCTAACTACAACTAAAATTTATGAATGTCAACAATAAACACGTATGTACATCGAGAATTTGGTATATTAAAATTTATAAACGTATCAAAATATTAGTCTAATGATAATATACTAAACTCACTTTAATCCTATAAATTTATAGTTCCATTTGTTAATCGTAAGTTTTAATTTTTTTTTCTTACGTGCAATAAATTTTAAACCTTACTCATTGTTGAAGATAAATATTGATTATAGAATTTACTGATTGATAATAAGATTTGTTTTTTTTTTTTTTTGTCAATGATTCAAAATTTTATTCAACAAATTTTTGACGTGTCAATTAACCTAATTGGTAAAGTATCTTTTTTACGATCGATAGTAAAATTCTATAATCAGATTCCATACCTTTTATAAAAACACGTGAATCAATCAATCACTTAATAGATCACACCAGCTGGAAACCATCATGCATCCAACGAGCAACCTCTCATCCGTCTCTTTCCTTTCCTTTCAACAAATAAAACAAAAGGGTAAAAAAAATATATCTTTACGTGACATCCGATCTAGCAAGCTTCACCCATATCCGTTTATGGGGTTTGTTTCTTTCTCGAGACATTAATTTGTAGGGACAGTGTGATGGGTCCCTGAGTTGTTGGTCGTACATGCATCTTCCTCTGCTTTCACCTGCCGTGAAGCATTTGCCCACAAGTGTTCACCATCCTCATGTTCAAATTACTTTTTGTCATGAATCTTCCGAGATATCCATGCTATAAAATAAGTCCAAATATCATAATATTCCAATTATTTAGACTCATCGTTATGTTAAAAATTTCAAATATAAAAATTGTAATAAATCATAATAATGTCTCAATTATTTGAAGTCATCGGCCAGCTCGTTAAGGTCCCAACAGCACCAAACCACTGATCCAATTAGTGTCATTACATTAGGCTACTTGTAGAATAACATTTTACAAGTGTTCTAATTAGAGGACTTAGCAATAGATTAAGGACCATGTGCTTCTCGTGATGAGGGACATAAAAAGCATTACCAAGTCAACAACATATCGTGTCATGTTTTTTACATTCAAAAGGAAATATATAAAGAAGGATTTAAACTTCGTAAGCAGTAAAAAAATTTGAAAAATTATATTGCATAATTTGACACAGAATATTACATCGTTATTTTTCATGCTCGCAAAACAAAACAAATATGTCATAGTTTAGGAGAGATCAAATCGCTGCTACATGATTATATGCCTTGGCTATTTACTGATCTCAGAATTGTGCAAAGCTTTACTGGACTTTGCATTGAACGTTAAGACAATGTAAGATAATTCTTCTTAATCTAGAAAACTATATTAATATTACGTATACGTAGTGCACAAAGCTCCCACCACTTTGCGAGTATTAAGAGAATGTAAGATGGTTTTTCTTTAAACTAGAAAGCTATGCTAACATTGAACATACGCAGTACATCATGAGGCTCAGGTTTGGGAAAAGTCAGTTGCATTATGCAACGCTGCGTCTTACGTAAGAAATTTTA